GCTCCTTCTACTCCTTTTGCGTTACGTAATTTATAATCAGCTCATTTAGTTTGTTACTAGACGGCATTAAAATATTTATGGTAAGTATATGTATGTGTATGTCTAGTAACAATTTGGAAGTGTCTCAGTTGAAAACGCAGGTATTTAGGTAACGCATTTGTACCACATATGGGTGACTAAAACCCACATTATATGAACAGATAAGTACTTATATCGATTTTCGTTAAATTTTTGCGCGAAAAAGCTAGTTATTACAGACAATCATTACGTAAGTATCATGTACCTATGCATATGAGATCTGTTCAAAAAGTATCTCGAATTTTGCGATTTTCAAAAATTATTTATTTATTTATGAATATTTATTTTGTCCCTTTCAAAATAATTCCCACCAGATATTATACAATCCTCGAAGCACTTCAATAAGTCATTTTTTGTGATCTTGTTCAGCTCCACTTTCCATGTCGTCTTTATCTCCTCAATCGTAACAAACAACGATGTGTGTGCAAGGGCGTTATCGTGGTGCAAAGGCCAATTTTTGTTCTTCTACAAATCCGGGCGTTTCTGGCAGATTGCTTCGCGTAAATTGCGCATAACTTGCAGGTAATATTCCTTATTGACCGTTCTACCTTGTGGCAAGAACTCATGATGCTCCACGCCCCTGCAATCGAAGAAAACCGTAAGGAAAACCTTCACATTCTACCAAACTTGGTGAGCTTTTTTCGGTCTTGGTTCGTGCGCCAGCTTCTATTGTGATGATTGAGCTTTGGTTTCCACGTCATAACCATAAACTCATGATTCGTCACCAGTTATGACCTTCTGGAGCAAATTTGGGTCGTTGCGGATTGAGTTCAACAGCTCCTTAGCAATGTTAATGTGATTTTGGTCGATATTGAGTAATTTTGGTAACAATTTCGCGGAGACTAGTCTCATGCCCAAATCATTAAATCATTGGTAGGAGTCAATCGATATGTTTAGGTCCTCAGCAACTTCTCTAACAGTGATTTGACGATTGGTTAATACTATTTTCTTCACTTCATTTTCGTCTGTAGTTGACGTGCTCGGGCGTCCGGCACGCTCCTCATCGTTTACATCTTTTCTGCCCTCTGAGAACATTTTGTACCATCGATAAACGTTGCTTTGGTCCAAGGTAGCTTCACCATATGCTACAGTCACCATTCGGAATGCGTCCGCGTACTTAGTTTTGTTTCTCACACGGATTTTGATACAGATATTACCATCAATTTTTTGGAATAAGTAAAAATCGAAGACGAGCCAAAACGCATGCAAGCAAAGCAGCTGTCAAAAATTAACTGAAAATTCAACATGGCGGAACATGTCGGTATAAGTGAGAGACATGAGCAGGTACCAACATAACGCCACAAAAAGAAAAGATCGAATATACGTAACCCACTTTTTGAACAGACCCCGTATATGATCGTGAGTGGTATGAAATTAAAGGTACATATGTCTGTATGTTCAGGATGAAGAAGAATGTGCCGCTCGAGAATAATAAGAAACAGAATTGAGCTAAAAGCGTTTCTAGACTGTTAATTTTAATAATATATAATTTAGCTTTTAAAGTGTTATGATGTGGCTGTTGCTTCTGCTTCGATTTCGAAGATGATTCTAGCTACTATCGTTAAAATTATAGCTTGCGAACTGTTGACAGACACGTGGGTAATGCTTTTTATAAGAACATCGCCTTTAATTGAATCTCTTTTTTATCTTCATTCACGTTTGATACGCTACGTCCTCAAAAACTGTTATTTATTAAATCTATAGACGTTTGTTAGTTATTTTCCAAATGCCTTATACAAGAAATACTTAATTAAATAAAAGCATCACTTTAAAAAATGTAAAAAAAATTACATGAAGAATGTAGGAGCAAAAATTAATGGAATTTACAAATATTGTATATATAGACCAAGTAATTTGTAATATATTGATGGGGGAACTAATGCCGGGTACGCGGTCCCGTCTGTCTACTAATCGACATCGGAATATTTATATTTATGTGTTATTTGTTTCAAAAAGGTGTGGTTTTGTTATATTTATTATTGCCACCTCTTGTTCTTTTCTTGCTCTGGTTAACTTACTCGGCAGTGCTGGATAGCCCTGCGCTATCATCAGCAGCAAAGTCGGATACAAACCGAGTAATATTAGTTTCATTTCTGATGCTGATGTGGATTGTGCATTTTTGGATTAAATCTTAGAATATCAGACATTAATAATCAGGAAATATTCTACCACTCAAGATAGAAACGTGAAATATGGATATTTTGCATTTTAGAGGTTAAGAAAGGATTATTATTCGAAAGTTAGTCCATAAGAGGATGAAATGGGGAGTAAGGATTCATCGTATTCATAGCTTATATCAACTGTAGGCTTGTTATTAAAACTCTTTAAAGCAAATGTTGAAGATTAGAATAAATTTTAAAATATTAATAAAGCATAATGTGCTTTACGATTTCTTAAAATAAGTCCTAATAAGGGATACTACGGGGTATTGAAGTATTTTCGTGTGGAAAAATTTCCAGTACTTATCAAATAATAAAGTGCTTATTCAAGAATTTTTCAATTTTTGCTACCCCTTAAAAGAAGTTTCTGCTGTTTTGATCTATACACTCTTCTTTAACAAAATTAAACTTAGACGTATCAAAATAAGTATTAAATACCTGGAATTTTAATCCAAATATAATGAAAAAAATTTTCATTAAACTGATAAATTGGTAAAGGCTTTCACGGCCTGTAGGAACTCATGCTGTCCTGATTCGGGTCTAACAGTCGTCGTCTGTTGCAATTGCTTCCTAACGTTTCGCTCAAAAGTCCTTCTACATTCGAAACTGGATGCGGATAAAGATGGAAGGATCTCCAACCGATGACGACCTTTAAATCCAAATCAGGATAGCAATAGTTTGATTAAACAGTCAATTAAAAAATTAAAATTGAGTTTTAATAATGGTAAGTGTTTACTGTAGTGGCAAGCAGAGCAAGTAAAAGTTGTCCTATACATTGGTTTTTGAAATTTCGGCTAATAGTGAGTTTGATGATGATATCTAATCATGGAATTAGGCATACTCGAACAGACTCATTCATTACCATCACAGATTTTAGGATATTTTACTGAACCGTGTACATTTTGTTCCTTGCTAATTTTAGGGTTCTCATAATTTTACATCATTTGCAAATGTGTATCATTATTACTTAACTATCATTCTTGTCTAATAAATTAATATTATTAATAAATAATATTTTTTTACCATTTAATGACGGGTGTAAATTGAATCATATAACGTATAAATATGTATGTTTCAATAATAATATTTTTAAATAAATTTTTATTTGCAGGTTTGCTGATCTACATATTAGGTAAATAATTTACAACGAGAGAGGGGTAAGTGTTTTTTTTATTTCCTTTTCTTTTCTTATTGTGAAGAGATAATGGTATCACAATTTGCCTTGTTATATTTTGATTAAATTGAATGAAATCCACTCGAAAGGAAAAAAGAAAAGTGATCCACGCTATTAACAGTAACAGATTATTACAAAAAAAAAATTATCGGAATAAACAGCCCACTTTACACGTGAGTTTTTTATCACATATATGCAAAAATATTGTACTTGAAACCAAATGTTATCTTAAAAAAGCATCCTGTCTTATTATTACTAAAATATTTTAAAGTAAATTTAAGTTGCATTAAGTGCGTAAAGTACATTTACTAATCTATATTACACTTTTTAAAACAAGATAGGGAGATTGATGAAAAAATACGCACTTCTATTAGTAATTATGGTCATTAAGAATCGATGTGTGCTATGGGTTAAATCATATCATACGTTTTGATGTTAGCACACCATCATCAGTGGCGAGCATTTTCGCATCTGAAGCACTCATCACGCAATTGTTTTTTAATGAATAGATGCAGGGGTGTAATAACTTGTTTTAGTACATAATTATGTTTTTGGGGCATCTTGTAGATGTGTATGTATACATATCTTGCACTATCAGAACGGAAGTGTGCGTAGTTCACACATGGATATGAATGTGATTTTTTTAAAGGCCAATGTTAAGTTCCCTGTGTAGTGTACTTATTTGCACAATAAATTGAATAGCATGTATTAATCAATTAAGTAATAAGCCGACAATAGATCTATTTATATAATTATATAAATAAACATTTACTCTAGTGAAGTACTTCAAATCGATTAACAACCATTAAATTTGCTCTGTTTATCGTAGAATCTATCAACACAACGTGTCCAACTTAAAATGTTTAGCTTTTTCGCTCTGCCCTTAACGTTCAATTATTTTAATTATGGGATATTACATTGACATAAATTCATAAAGAACGAACGATAAGTGAAATTAAAGTGGTTGAAAAAACCCTGCAGATCTAACTGTTAAAATGATGATGACAATGGGTTTCCATTTATTAATATTAATACTGAAATACATATTAATAGGTAGATATGTGCTTCAAGTTACTGCTGTGTAAATACCATCTCACAAATTAAATTTTACGTTTAATATAACGATTATTTCTACACAATATTTTAGTCTTATCAGTGTAAACATTACATGAATAATACGAATCAATTTTATCAAATTAATTTTTTAGTAGATAATAGTCTTATTGTGCAATGAATCATATTATTGCATATCTATTGCACAGGTAAATCCCCCCAAAAATGCTTGTTAATTTTTTTAGTAGCTTTAATTAGTTTATGATTGCCTGCATTTTACGTAAAAAGTGTAGGTATTCTTATTTTGCCATGCTCCATAGGAAAGCTTTTTTAAAGGTTTTCTTCCCTGTGATAAAATCAGGGATAGTTGACTATAAGGGTAGGTTAACTAATTATCAAAAACTCGACTTACTCGAACTCCAAGAACAGCATTCCCTTCTCGCTTAGTCACCGGAAGGGCAACATCGTTTATGCACATCGTTCGGGAGATGAAGGAACATATGATCGAGAAAAATACATGTAAGTAATTATAATCCTCGTTATATTTTTTGTAGTAACGCCTCCATACTCATTGTTATTTACTCTCAAATAATTTAATGTAGGAGTTAATTTTATTGTTAACCTTTTATTGCGTATCATTCGTTTTGATTTCACCCGAGCTTTGACATTATACCTTGTGCTTAAAAATGAAAATGTGATCTATACTAATGTAGTACGTGACTGGTTGACCGGTCAACATATCCCATAGTTGTCTTCACAAGGAATAAAGTCAGTCTTTTGTCAAACAAGATATTGAAGAAAAGCAGACAAAAGAATTCGCATTAGAAAATTACTTCAAGAAAGTAACTGATATTTATTACGGATTTACATCTTCAGGAACTCGAAAGTTTGCATTTGAGTTTGGGAAAAACGAAGTAATAGACCTATTCCTGACTCGTGGAACAGAAAAATAATTGCTGCTGAAGATTTTCTAGCATGTTTTCTCAAACGTCTTCGTGCAGTCTCTGTAAGATTTTCTCAAGTTGTACGTACGACTTTATCTCGAATCACATCGTTCAACAAAAACAACGTAAATTTGTTTTTCTATAACGTGAAAACCGCTTACCAAGGTTTGAATCTATGTGCTGGTATGTTCTCATTATTTTTTTCCTTTATTATCACTGTCAGTGGGTCGATAAATACACAATAAAAGGTGATTAGAGGCATGGAACCATATTGGATAAATAGATTTGTTTAGTATATGTATTATTCTTGAGAGCTTCAAGCAATTCCAACGTAAAAATCACACAGGAAGTAGAGGAGTCTAAGAGACCTCCACATCTAAACTTTTGAGCATCAACAGCCATAGTGGAAGAAAGATAATCAATACAAGTATACTGGACAATGATTTATTACGGGTAGTTCACAAGGAGCGACACAGTACCACAAATTCATAGCAGAAGGTTGGCATAATAGATATATAACAAAAGAGTTGGTAAAAAATCTACAAACTGGCAAAATAATTGAAGAAGAAATTAGGTATTGTTATTACACTGTTACAGAAAAATAAGTAGGTAAAAGCATGCACATAAGTGCTCTTATGAAGCCCAGATAAATGATACTGTTGAAGATTTGTCAAAAGAAAAGCATCAAAAACGTAAGGAGTAGGCAGGTACGCTTGAAAAGTTAAGGCATGCTACAAAGTTTGACTTGTTTCTCTGTCATTCTGTAACAGAAACTGATTTTAGTTTAAAAATTGCTTTTGTAGTGTTAATTAAACCCAGTTTGCCTTCTCTGCACACCCTACTTGCGGAAGACATTAACCTACCTGCCAACCTTATACCCAAGATGCGAAGGATAACTGATTCCTTCCGAACTGCGATTCACCAAACGCGAATAACTAGTGGAAATATGTACGAGTACCTGTTTTATACCTTTACGCTGCATTATTGGATACTGTTCTCAATATTGCCACCACCGAACGGTATACAGGGGTCGTTCAGCAAGTATCTGAAATTAAATCTGGATAAAGGCTAAGTACCTAAGAGATAAAAAGTTTAGCTACTATATTTGAGCTTTAAATTACAATCGGATCAACTTGATCGGATTAGCGATAATAATTTTTATCGATTTTGCGATAGGATTTGCCAGCACGTACCTATGTCAAAAAAATCGTTTCAAGAAAAGCGTGAGTGTACGCTGTAATTGAGCAGGACAACGTGGAAAAATATCGTCAATTTTCCTCTATTTAGTGACTATGCCAACAAACAGACGACAATGTTGAGTTTCAATGTGACGCTATAAAAAGATAGATCTGCTTCAAAACAGCACATTCAAGCGCAAAAGGAAATAATCGAAGAGAGAACCAATGCCAGACATGAGCATGAAAAAGGGGCAGACAATCGGTACAGAGGCGGAGCCACTTGATTTGTGGTCGCCATTTTGTCAAATAGTAGTGTTTTGTTAGAGGTCTTATCTGATTGGATAATCTCCCTCCTCAAGAACCATAAAGAAATCATCTTCGGCATCTTCGATCTTCTCGGATCCGTGTCTCAGCAGATTCAAGCATCAGCGTTCAAAGCTTTCAGGATCAGTATTATCCTGACTCCACGAATACTTAGTCTGTCGTCTTCATGGAATTGCGATTTCATTGAAATTTCCAACTTTTCCTGAAACTATCCACGAATTTCAAACGATTGAGTGTTGAAAACGGCTCCTGTATGTCCTACAAGGATACAACAACAAAACTTTACAAAAAGCCAGGTAAAACTCAATAAATATTTCAGGATAAAGCTCCTCAACTCAAGTGAGATCCGCCTTTACGTTTCATGGAACGCCTCCAAAGCGAAAGCTCAGCCAATTGAATCTTTGATGGGAACGAATTGGGACGACCGTTCCCGAAATGCGTTGCCAAGGGAAACGTCAAAAGCTCATTGCGTTAACACTCAGTGCGGGCGCGTTAGCCATCGTGCTTGTTTCGTAGTGATTCCACACACTGTAAATCGGTGATAACCGGCTCTCTTATCTGTGAAGGGATAATATTGTTTTGCCTTTGACTGTGATCAGTGGTACTGAATGTGCTTGAACAGGAAATTGTGTGATATCGGTAAGTACCGACTCTTATCAGTTAGTTACTTTCATGATCCGATCACTAATCAGGACCCTGATACAATACAGATGTGGATACTTAATTACCTCATTAATTTTAGGCGCTATTGTTATTATTGGTTGATAAGGCCTTAATATTAAAGATTAATTCCATCCGAAGGATAACAACTTGAGAATGAAACTCCCAGAAGGAAAACAGTTTTATTTTCCGACAATTGGAAAACTTATGAAAACGGTACGATTCAATCTTGAATAGAAGCGTAAAAATGTAAAAGCTTATAGGAAATCGAAACGAGTTGTAGTAGGTAGTTTTAATGTCGCTCGTTTATCACTCTAAATCTATTGTTTTAATTTTGATAAGTAACCCGAGAATCGATAAGTTTCTTCAATTATATTTTTATGTTTATATCGGACTCATATTTCAAGTCAATTTGTTGTGGAAGCGTTTCGAATGCAAACGGGAATCGAGAGCGAGAGCTACGATTCGGGTTTCGCGCTTGATCTACTGTTGGAGTCTCCTGGTCAAATATTCAGTCTTTTTATTGATTATGATAATTCTTCGATTCTCGCGCTAATGTCTACTATTCAAACAGATAAAGTATGTTTCTAGGCATTAACTAAAATATATAAAAAAAATTTTTTTAGCTCTGATAAATATTAATTGGCACTTGAAGGTACTTTAGATAAAACGATAAGAATATATTAGGTACTGTTTAATTCTCGGAACAAAAATAAATTTTTTTTTTAAATTTTACAGCTACTTATGTGACAGTTCTGTACCAATATCCGCGCTTTCTTTTTTATTTAAATTTGAAACGATAAGGATAACAGTTTTCGATTACATTACCGTTATCAGCATTGTCAATTTAAGATTATGGGAGGCCTTCAGATCGAGATATCTAAAGTAAATCTACGATCGTAATTGCAGACACAAATTACTACTTGTTTGGAGTATATCGAAAGCAGACATACAAAAGAAATCGTATTTTCCAGACTAAAACATTTCTGCTATACATTATTAAGTGATTGCACGTGTATACACGGGTCAAAAAGACTACGATAAAGAAACGAGATTCAGCCACATTAGAACATTAAAAGTGATCGTCTGTAGATAACAATCTCGTAACGATTTCGATAGATTAGCGTTTTTTAATATTTGTCTCCTTTTTATTACAGTTTGTGCGAAGAAAGCACAAGTAGCGTTTGCCGTCGGAACGAAGAATTCCGGGAAATTCGGGTCCGGATCGCGGTTTCGACACGCTACCACCGAAGAGTCCCACTGTAACAAAAGGACTTACGTCAACAACCCCATTATATAAACTGTGAAACGGTAGTGATTGTTTTCAATTTGATTCGAACTGTAGCTGATGCAGTTGTAGTAGTTGTTACTAGTTACTTATTGTGATGTGCGTTTTATAAAAAGACCGTTTACGAATGATTATGGAGATGACTAACGATAGCGCGGGGGTTGGACGTTGGTATGAATCGCCTCGAACAGGCACGTCCGCAAGTCCCGCGCAGGGTGCCATCGAAAATAATTCGGACATTAACAGCAGTGTCGCAGAACACATGGGTGCCTTTTTTCTGGACCCGTCCGGTAGTCAGCGGGCAGCTAGGTATTATCATCAGAGTATGCACTCACCCTATGGGACTGTTGCTGGTCACGGTAAGTCCTTTTTTTTTCTTTATTTAATGAAGTTGCGCCACTTCCATACAATATATATAACTGTCTAGAAAAAGTTGTGAATAAAATATGAAGCTTTTCACATATAAACGACCCGGTATGTTCTGAGAAAAGCTTTTTCTTAATTCAACGTAACTTTATGGAGAAAGATACATTTTTGATTACCTAAATGAAATTTTTGGTAGTGTAAAAATGGATATCTAGGATGCAACATATATGCATTTTTTTTTTAAATAGATAATTATAAATTTTTGATGAACAGATATTCTTGCGCTGGAGAGGGTCGTGTGTATAAGGACACAAATTCTTAAATGTTAATTTATTTATAATACGCAGTATAACTAAGTATTCAAGCTCTTTAGAATGCAGGTACCTACTCAAATGCCTAAGTCTAATAAATGGCTACTCATTAAAGTATAGTAAAAGGATTTAATTCATTGTTACAAAGAAAGGAAAAGGCATTACGAAATGAACATTGGTTAATTATTTAGTAATTATGTGGGTACCTGATGGTGATTCCAGAAAATAATTCATTGTGATTTCTTTTTCTATTCTCTCATTCTACAATTTGTTGAAAGGCCATCGACATTCCATTCTGTAAATGTATTAATACCTGGATATACAGATACCTCTACTAGAAATTAGCAAACAGTTTTTGGCAATTAAGACATATTGACCAATTATACATTTTATACAGCACTTGTATAAATTGTTTGCAAACCGTTTGTTTTTTAAGTTATGTACAATATTCCTGTTAGCCTACCACAAACATTTTTTATAATGATTGTTTATTTCAGTAAGGGTGCAAATCGTTAATAGCAAAATATCTTTTTTACCTAGATATAAACTTTATAAGAGATAAATTCTACCACATTACTGGGTTGAAACTTATTTTGAATATTGAGAATAAAGTGGAAAAATTCAACAAATTCTATATTCAGATGTTAGGTGAAACAATTGTTAAGTAAAATTAAAAATTTCTTTAAATTATTTACGTTTGTTTTTGTAAGTTGATACCTAATTTAAAAGTGAAGTAAATTTTATTATTTCTTTTGTTTGCTTTATGAATTTGATAGTGCGATAAAAAGTTTTAGGATTCTGAGAAAGTTCAAAGCTACGAAACATTCTCAATTTGAACAAAACGTTAAACAAGATTAAGAACACTTTAAAAAATTTTCTTGTCTAATATTTTTGCTGATGTAGGTATATATTTGACGTTTCCACTCATATAAATTTTTTTACCTAGTTTTTCATTAGTTCAATTCAGTTTTAGATCAACTAATAATATATACTTTTGCTAATAGTAGGAACTGTAGTGGTAGGCTGAAGGTTTTAAAAATTTTTATTACTTTTTACCATGATCAACGGTTTCGAAAACGTAAGAAATTGTACACGTACCACGTCGGCCTGAAATCGTAATTTGAACAATGATTTTCCTGCTCCAGATTTGTCACCAACCTTCTTATATCTACTTGTTAAATAGCTGATTTATCCCCGCAGAATTAATTACCTCTAGGTTCGGAACCCAATCTATATAAAATGTAAATATTTAAATTAGCGAGTCTAAAATTATATTAGGTACCTATCTATATTATTTCACTCCCATTCAAATTAACTAATGTATAATGAATATTGAGTTTTTTTAAAAAGTGTAATTCGTCAATCAAAATTGCATTTAAATGAATCAGTTATTTATATTTATAAGTAGGTTTTGAACTAGGTGACGAATTTTCTAGTGTTTTGATATAGAAACATAGATAAATACGTACTTATATTTATGATCAGGCTTTAAAATCCTAACCACTATTATAAATGCGAAAGTGAGTTTGTTTGTTACGTTTTCACACCTTAAATACTCAATAAACCATCATGAAATTTCGTATACAGGTTGCTATGGGTACAGAAAAAAACGTAGGATACCTTTTATCCAAAACATAACATTTTTCCCGAGGGATAGAAGAAATTAGTTTTATTTGGTCAATTTCACTCCTTAACTATACTTCACTAATGGTCGTGAAATTTTGTACACAAATTGTTAGGGATACAGAAAAGAACATAGGGTACCTTTTATACAGAAAAAATACTCTTTCGGAATAGAAAAATTAGCTTTATGTGATGCGGTTAAAATCTAGTAATTAATAAATTGAATATCTTGAAAGGGAAGGTGGATTGGAATCGTTGTGGTATGGGTTGGGCCTAAAATGGTATAAATCACGAAAAACTCTTTATTTTTTAAGTCATTGTGTCGTATCTGGTTAACAACCTGAAGAATTTGTGTGTCATGGAGGCAACGAAGTTATTACATCCATGAGCAGAGCTATCATGTTACATGGCACGGTGCCGAGGGAATTCTTGGAATAAGTAGCGATAAAATCTTGAGATATATTCCAGTGCACCTGTCCATAAACTATTGAAAAATTATTTAATTCCCCATTTGCAGTACATTCATTTTTTATATGCGACACTTAACGCGAACGCGGGTATCGTGTTGCCGGGATAAACTGATACTGTTAAAATTGAAACTAAAATCTTCAATGACAAAAATCGATGTGACGTGACCAATAGCTACAAGAAAAAAAAGCAAATATATACAGACAAATATAGACAGCGTTTTTAGCAGAAAACAAAGGGTTAAATTTTTCATTAATGTATTAAGGTTAAAAATTACAGCTATTACAACTATCACACTATCGGCAGTTATTTTTTTTTTAATTTTAGGTATAAATCAGTGAGAATCTGCTTCTTTTTGTAAAATATTAGAACCTACACAAAAAAGCCATAAATACTCGTTATTTTTCAATTAATTTTCAAAAATCATTTATTTAGAGTATTCCATAATTATATAGTATTATAATTATAACAAAATGTAAATAAAATATTGTCAAAACTTTAAAAACGACATAATAAGGTTTACGCATGAAAAAGCTCATTGACAGTACATATATTAATGCTTTAGGCACCGGAACACCCATCCTTTGTAATTACTTTAGTGATATTTTACTTTTCTTTTTAACTATTTCTATTAGACATCAAAATGGGTAGCTAAGTTTGCTTTCCTTTGGCAGTTGTTAAATGTTTTTTATTTAAAAGGAGTGCTAATTTCTTATTATAAACGACTAATCAGTGCAATGAGGCAGAACGAACATAAGAAATAAGGAAATAATTAAGTTGTACTTGCGCAGAAAAGACAGGGAGCTATTTTAGCATGCAAACTACATTTCGAATCGATTATGTTATCTCATATGTCTCGGATTAATTTGTGAAAAGTACATTAACTTTGTATTATCTGCACACGTGGAGGCAGAATTCACTCTGTTTTCGCGGAGGTGCTTGCTTTAATGGAATTGTTGAACGTTAATGGTTACGCAGTGCCTATAAATTAATCTTATCACACGAAGGTATCAAAAGTTTTAAGATATTGCCATAAAAATACTAATTGTCTGTTGCATTAGTTATTACATGTTTAAATAAATCACAGTATTTAAATACTTTAATGGTTATCCGAACTGATGATATGAAATGATATATTACTTTTGCTTCTTATATTCATTAAACATATTATTAAATCATACGCTTTACCAGTATTACGAATATATTAAACAGGTATTAAAGGATAATTTATTAACATTTTATTTAATTACTGAACTACAATTTCTAGCTCGTATGATGGTAAACAAATTGTTTTATTCGTTGTCAATAAAGATTTGGAATATGAATCCTTTGCTATACCTATCTTAGTAATAGTATTGCCCAATAAAGGTTTTCATTTTTTTTTTTTTTTAGTAGCATTACCTATGCGATGAAGGAATTTTCAGGGACGATTTCTTTTTATCATATTATCTACCTACACGCTTTATTAATCTTAAAAATTAATAACCTCGCTGTGATTTTCAAGGGACATGCTAAAAATGTCTAGATTATAAGTATTTAAGTTAACGAATAGGTTTTTCGAGAGATACAGATAATTTATATTTTAATTGTAAAAAGGCGTATTTCGAAATATTTCTACTCTTTTGAGCCGTAACGTTGAAGTGAAGTAAAAATATCTGACTATACATAGGCGTAATACTTAAAATTGGAAGATTTTCCTAAATACAGAGAAATTCACTTAGTTTAAAAATGATTTCTGATATTGACTGTTCTGGAAAAATTTCTATTTTCTTCGATTTGCCGAGGATTACAGTAAATAAAGTTCGAGTTTTTCGGTTAATGGTCCAAAATGGAGCGGTAAACATTCATTCTCACAAATAATGATTTTTCTCCAAAGAATTTGCATTCGTTCGATATTTTTCCTGTACATATACGTGTGTCTTTGCGCTGGAAATGTGGAAACGACCTATACCGCCAAGCCATTCTCCTATCCACACGTATGTCAGGATAACGACCATCGATTTTCCCCACAAGTTCATGCGTTCTGGGAAACACGGACGTGATGTAGTAGAACGAACTGCGAACCAGTGGCGTATCACGTTCAACAAATTACTATAAACAAAAGAAAGTAATTCCATTATTATAGTCTATTTTGGGCGAATTTATTAAGTGATTGTTATTTATTTCATTTGGAACTTTTCTATAACTGAATCCATATAAAATTAACTGTTTTATTCATCCTTATTACTGAAGAGATTTACCTACAATACGTAGTAAAGAAAATTTTCAGTTTAAGACAGCTAGATATTTTCCGAATTGTTTTTGTAAAATTTCGTATATGGAATTTTAGATTGCAATTAAGGGCAAGCGTAATAAATTATAAGATGGTGGCACTCTTTTTACTTCATTTCATAGAACACTATATTTGTATATTTTTAAATTAGAATCCATTCAATAAACATGACTCCATAATACAAAAGTAACTCAACAACTAAATTGCAGCAGTTTGAGTTTTTGGGTTATACTGCCGTACATTTTCCTTAATTCCAGTTTTTCTATGTTTAGCAGATGGTATCTTCAGTGCGTTCCATATCATTCAGTTGCCGGTTACT